TCTGCGGTTCTGTTTGGGTTCGGTCTATGGTTCTGTTTGGGTTCGGTCTGCGGTTCTGTTTGGATTCGGTCTGCGGTTCTGTTTGGGTTCGGTCTGCGGTTCTGTTTGGGTTCGGTCTGTGGTTGTTTGGGTTCGGTCTATGGTTCTGTTTGGGTTCGGTCTGTGGTTCTGGTTGGGTTCGGTCTGCGGTTCCATTTGGGTTCGGTCTGCGGTTCCGTTTGGGTTCGGTCTGTGGTTCGGTCTCCGGTTCCGCTTGTTTTCCAGTTCCATTTGGGTTAGGTCTGTGGTTCCGTTTGGGTTTAGTCTGCTTCTCCGTTTGGGTTCGTTCTCCGGTTCCGTTTGGGTTTGGTCTGCGTTTCCGTTTGGGTTCAGTCTGCGTTTCCGCTTGGGTTCGGTCTGCAGTTCCGTTTGGGTTCCGGTTCCGTTTGGGTTCGGTCTGCGTTTCCGTTTGGGTTCGGTCTGCGTTTCCGTTTGGGTTCGGTCTGCGGTTCCGCTTGGGTTCGGTCTGCGGTTCCGCTTGGGTTCGGTCTGCGGTTCCGTTTGGGATCCGGTTCTGTTTGGGTTCGGTCTGCGTTTCCATTTGGGTTCGGTCTGAGGTTCTGTTTGGGTTCGGTCTGCGGTTCCATTTGGGTTCGGTCTGAGGTTCTGTTTGGGTTCAGTCTGCGGTTCCATTTGGGTTCGGTCTGAGGTTCTGTTTAGGTTCAGTCTGCGGTTCTGTTGGGTTCGGTCTCCGGTTCCGGTTACGTTTGGGTTCCAGTTCCATTTGGGTTAGGTCTGTGGTTCCGTTTGGGTTCAGTCTGCGTCTTCGCTTGGGTTCGGTCTGCGTTTCCGTTTCGGTTGGGTCTGCGGTTCCGTTTGGATTCAGTCTGTGGTTCTGCCTGGGATCGGTCTGCGGTTCCGCCTGGGATCGGTCTGCGGTTCCGCCTGGGATCGGTCTGCGGTTCCGCCTGGGATCGGTCTGCGTTTCCGTTTGGGTTCGGTCTGCGTTTCCGTTTGGGTTCGTCTGCGTTTCCGTTTGGGTTCGTCTGCGGTTCCGTTTGGGTTCGGTCTGCGGTTCCGCCTGGGATCGGTCTGCGGTTCCGCCTGGGATCGGTCTGCGTTTCCGTTTGGGTTCGGTCTGCGTTTCCATTTGGGTTCGGTCTGCTGTAGCACTACAGTACTGTAGTACCTTAGCTGTGCTGCTCAGTGATCAGCTGGTTTGATCAGAGTAGAGGTCTCTGTTCTCTCTGCATGGGAGCTTCAGCCTTTGTGTTTGTGCCCAGGAAGCCATGGGACCACGGAGGAAGACGTCCAAGCTTCAGCCCATAGGGGGCAGTAGTGTGGAGGATCGGCCTGAGAGGAAGGACTACATCAACGAGCTCTCCCATGAGGTCCTCTGTCATATATTCAGGTAGCCTCTCTTTCTTCCTGCCTTAGCGTTTCAGCCAGACTCTCCTCTCATCATGTTAGACCTGAGAGCAAAAGACGCTAGGAGAACATCTGAGCACCGTCATAAACTGCTAGGCTACAGAAACAGAGAGAGAGAGATAATCCCAGATTAGCCTTTGGCAGATTAAAGCAGCCAGCTGTTCTAATCTG